CGACGCGGGAGGAGGGAGGACGGCGACGACGACGACGACGACGCAAGAGCGCGCGCGCACGCTTTTGTTGAAAATCCGCGTTGCGAAACCTTGGGTTCTTGTAGGTTTTTTGGACGCACGATTTTGAAATCCTTCCGAAACCGATGGGTTTCGAAGGTTTTCGGCATACGTCCGCGACGTCGCGCGCGTCTGCACTTCGTCCCGTTTTTTGCAGAGGATTCTCGCGACGGCACACGCGCAAGGGCGTTCGACAGATTTCGACATGCGCGCGCGCGAAGCCCGTTTGGTAGCATTTTGTGAAAATCTTGAAAAACCTATGGTTTTCTCAAGATTTCACAAGAGCTCGCGCGGAAACTTTTTGTTAGCAAACCAGTGTTGCGAAACCATGTGTTTTTGTATGTTTTTCGGGAACTCGATTGCGAAATCCTTCCGGCACCGAAGGTTTTTGAAGGATTTCGGCATGCGCGCGCGACGACGCGCGCGTGTGCACTTCGTCCTTTTTTTTGCAAGGGATTCGTGAAAAAGTGTTATGTTAGAAAGAAAAATGTCCCCGCATAGTGTTATTTGACAGGGAACCGCAGGGGGGGGGGAACCCGGCTTGGCTGAGATGGTATGAATTCATATTTAGGATGGACATGTGGTCAGAATCATATACGATTTACAGCACGCGCGGGGGAACCGATAAGTCCGGGGGGGGGGTAGAATCTATTGCAAAATCTATGTGATGCAACCTATGTGGAACAATCTATGTCGCGCAATGGATTTTTACAAATGCTTTGACACAACCTATGCTATTGCAAACATCCCACCCACCCACCCGCAACTTGGTTTGCAAACCTCTGAAGTCCGACTACGACGACACCAGCGACAACGACTACGACGACATCGACGACGTCCCCGACGACTTCCACGACGACGACAACGACGACAACGACGACGAAAACGACAACGACGACGACACCGACGACGACGACGCCGGCGCCGACGACGACGACGATGACGACGCCGACGTCGACGACGCCGACGCCGACGACGACGTCGACGTCGACGGCGCCGACGACGACGGTGGCGACGACGACGACGCCGACGTCGACGACGACGAGAACGACGACGACGCCGACGCCGACGACGACGACGACGTCGCCAACGACGACGACTACGACGAGGGAAGAGGGAGGACGACTACGGCGACAACGACGACAACGACGAGGGAGGAAGGAGGACTGCGACGACGCAAACGACGAAAAAGGAGGAAGGACGGCGACGCCGACGACGACAACGACGAGGGAGGAGGGATGACGACGACGACGACAACGACGACGACGACGACGACGAGGGGGGAGGAGGATGGACGACCACGGCGACAACGACGACGGAAACCATCACGACGCCAAAAAGGACGACGACGACGAACACGAGGAAAAACAGAGGACGACGTAGGCGACGACGACGCCAACGCGGGAGAAGGGAGGACGGCGACGACGACGACGACGCAAGAGCGCGCGCACGCTTTTGTTGAAAATCCGCGTTGCGGAACCTTGTGTTCTTGTGATTTTTTTGACACACGATGTTGAAATCCTTCCGAAACCGATGGGTTTTGAACAATTTCGGCACACGCGCGCGACGACGCGCGCGTCTGCACCTCGTCCCATCTGTGACGGAGGTTCCTCGCGACGGCGCACCCGCAAGGGCGTTCGACAGATTTCGAGACGCGCGCGCGCGAAGCCCATTTGGTAGCATGCATGTTGCGAAAATCTCGGGAAGAAACAAAAAGGGTTCCCATAAGATTTCGCAGTAGCTCGCGCGTAATCTTTTTTTGGCAAATCAGTGTTGCGAAACCGTGTGTTTTTGTACGTTTTTGGGAAACTCGATTGCGCAATCCTTCCGACGCCTAAGGTTCGTTGGAGAATTTCGGCACGCGCGCGCGACGGCGCGCGCGCGTGCACTTCGTCAGCTCGTTGCAAAAAGATTCGCGAAAAAAATGTCATGTTAGAACAAAAGAGAGCTCAGAGGGGGTCGATACCAGTTCCCCTGGGATGGTGTAGACTCATATTTCGGATGGACATGTGGTCAGAATCATCTACCCTGTAACGCCCCTCGCGGGGGTGGAAACCAATCGGGTGCAGCTTACTCCGTGAAGCGTCGTGTTGCCTCCTCCTCCACTCGTGTTCTTGCGCCAGACGTCCACCCCTGGGGATCTCGGAAGTTCCCACAAGGCTCGCAGGTGGTCAGAAAAATGCCCCGAACATCGAAGACTAAGTTATTCGAGGTTTCGTCTTCGACTCCATTCCCAGAGCCCCGACGTGGTGTCTGTTCATCGTGTCGGCGGCCTTGTTGTCGTGAAGTTATCCTCGGAGAACCTCTTTGTGACGCTCCCGAGAGAGGGGAGGAGGGAGGAGGGAGGAGGGAAGGAGGAGGGAGGAGGGAGGAGGACGGATGGGGACGAGGCGGATCTCGCGCACGGCGCTATCGGAGCCATCGAGGCTACGGATGAGGTAGGAGGAGGAGGAGGAAGAGGAGGAGGAGGAAAAAGAGGAGACGGAGGAAGAGGAGGAGAAAGAGGAGGAGATGGAGGAGGAAGAGGGGGAGGAAGGATTAAAAGCAGGACGGATGAGGAGGCGGATGATGACGACGAGCAGGAGGAGGAGGGAATGACGCCCGTCCTGGAGCCTCTTGGTGTCGCCTTGGCTTTCCTAGAGCGTGCTGGGGGTCCTGTGGCCTGTTTGGGCTCTTCGGAGCCTCTTGGGGCCTCTTGGAGCCTCCTGGGCCCACTGGAACTCCCTGAATGTAATTCAAAGTGGGTCCTCCGGGGGGCTCTTGAAATATCGTGCGCTCTCCCGGGGCCGCCATGGGCCCTCCTGGAGCCTCCGTGCGCCCTCTAAAAACTCTCGCGGGGGCGGAACGATGAAAACAATTTCGCGCATGGGGGCCTTTCCGTTGAGAAGGGGGGCGCGGTGCAGAGTGGGTCCTCCTGGGGCCCTCCGGAAATCCCTTAGGCACTCCCGAGGCCGCCACGGGCCCTCCCGGAGCCTTTGGGGGCCTCTAACAAGGCTCTCGCGGGGGCTGAAACATGACGACCGTTTCACGGATGGGAGCCTTTTCCGTTGTGAAGGGGAGCGCGGTGAAAGGTAATAAAGTGACGACAGTGTCGCACTTGAGGCCCCAAATCGTCCTCGGGCACTTCGGGCGCGAATCCCCCTCCCCCGTAGTACGGTGCGATTTCCGCTCCCCCCGCCGTCCCGCTGGACCCCGGGAGGGTAATTTTTGTGGTTTTCGCTTATGGGAAAACCTCCCCCCCCCTTCGACGGTGACGGAGGGCAGGCGGCGGGGGTGGGCGGGTTGGCGGGGTGGCGGGTTGGCTGGGGTTGCGGGGCGGCTGGCTGGGCTGGTTGAGCCGGTTGAATTGCTTGGGCGGCTGGTTGGTTGGGTTGGCTGGTGGGGCTGGCTAGGGCAATTGGTTTCGATGATTTACATTCCCGAAAGGGGGGCGGATAACGCCGGGGGGGGGTAGAGTCTATCCTTTTTTAAAAGAGAATTCGGATGACGAAGTTGAAATTGTCAAGTCCACTACTCGCGCAATCTCCCCACCCACCCACTCGCAACCTGGTTTGCAAACTCATGCGGAAGCCATTGGGTGCGATGAGTTTTTGGTGTTGGCTGGTGCATCTGTGCGGCCGCGCTAACCCGCGCATTCTCGCGCGCGCAGCGGCCAGCTAGTTTGGCGCGGCCAGCGCGAACGCGGTGGCGCTGACCGTTCGGCACATCCCAACGGGCAAATCAGTGCGAGTCGGCGACCTGGGCGGGCGCGGTATCATGGCAACGTCGACAACGCTAGACAAGAAGATGTTTCCAGCGATGCTGGCGACGATGTTGGCAGCGACGACGGGGCAGCCAGTGACGGCGCCGATGCTGATCACGCCGACGACGATGACGGCGTCCTCGCGTCGGTGATGGAGGTTTGGGAAAGAGTTCAAACTGCGCGCGCGGCAGACGCGCGAGATTGGCCTGCATGGTATTATTTGACACGGGTCGTGCCACCCCAGCACTGTGCGCGCGCATAATGCGTTTTGCAGAAAATGGCCGGAGGGGGGGTCAATACCGGCTCGGCTGGAACGGTACGAATTCATCTTTCAAACGGATGATGGGGAAATCGTATGTAAATTGCCATACGAAAGAATGGGTGCATAAACCGGGGTGGTGGTGGTAAAGTGAGCCTCGTTGAAATAATTGTTTGTCGCAATGAGTTGCCACCTCCCATCCATCCCCTTGCAAACATCCCGCCCGCCCACCCGCAACTTGGTTTGCAAAACCCGTGCGGTGGCGATTGCGACGCATGCTTGGCGCTGGCAGGTGCATCTCTACGGACGCACCATCCCGAATAAGCGAGCGCAGCGGCCAACTAGTTTGGCGCCACTGGCGCGGCCGCTGTGGCGCTGACCGCTGGGCGCGTCCCAGCGGGCACTTCGCTGCGAGCCGGCAACTTGGGCGGGCGCGGTATCATGGCGACGTTGGATACCGTATGCACGATGGTGATAGTGGCGATGCTGGTACGCGGCCAGTGCGAACACCGATGCTGATCACGCCGACGACGATGACGGCGTCCTCGCGTCGGTGCTGAAGGTCTTGGAAAAAGTTCGACATGCGCGCGCGGCCAACGCGCGAGTCGTCCGAACGGTTTTATTTGACACGGATCGTGCCCCGCCCCCCGCGCGCGTGCAAAAGCGTGCGAATGCCGTTTGGCAATTCCACGACACATGTTGAAAATCTATATTTTTCTAGAAAGACTTCGCAAGAGCGCGCTCGCAAGCTTTTTTTGACAACTGGTGTTGCGAAACCATGTGCTTTTGACTGTGTTTGGGGCATTCCGTTTTGGAATCCTTCCGAAACTCCGGGTTTTTGAAGGAGCTCAGCATACGCGCGCGACGACGCGCGCGCGTGCACTTCGCCCCATCGATTGCACAGGGTTCTCGCGACGGCACGCGCGCACAAGCTTTCGAACG